ACAGAAAACCAGGGTATCATCTGCAAACAACAAATGGGATATCTCGATCTGGTTAGCAACATCTCTACCAACAGTGAACCCCCTTATGTAACCTAGATTCTCTGCCTTTTTCATTAATTTACTCAATCCCTCCATGACAATAAGAAAAAGAAAAGACGACAAAGGATCTCCTTGTCTCAAACCACGCGAACTTGGAAAAAACCCAGCAGGAGAGCCGTTCATAAGCACAGAGAATATAACTGATGATATGCAAGATTCAATCCATTTTATCCATCGATCTCCAAACCCCATTCTCCGAAGCAAATAAAGAAGAAATTTCCAATTCACGTGATCATAAGCTTTCTCGATATCCAGTTTGCATAAAACACCAGGAACTTCACTCTTCAACCTGGAATTGACACATTCTCCTGCAATAAGAACAGAATCTAAAATCTGTCTACCACCAACAAAAGCATTTTGTGACTCTGAGATGATTCCATCCAAATCATTCCGCATTCTAAGAACAAGAATCTTGGCAATAAGCTTATACATACACCCCACTAAACTGATTGGCCGAAAGTCCTTAATGTCAGAGGCGTTGCTCTTCTTAGGAATAAGAGCTATAAAAGATGCATTTAATGATTTCTCGAATGTGCCATGAGAATAAAATTCCTGAAAAGTGCCCATTACCTCATTACGCACCACCTCCCAACTCTCTTTAAGAAACCGCATAGTGAATCCATCTAGCCTGGAGCTTTATCACCATTACAACTGGATAACGCCTTAAGAACTTCCTCTTCAGAGAAAGGAACCTCAAGCAGTTCACTATCCAGCGTAGAAATAGCATTGAAGTGCAAACCATCAAGTTTTGGTCTCCATTCCAAAGTCTCAGTATAGAGCTGCTGATAAAAAGAAACAATGCCCCCACGCACCTCATCTTCTTTCCACAGCTCTAAACCATTCACACGAATACGCCCAATATTATTGTATCTATGAGCGTTAGCAAGTCTGTGAAAGAATTTAGTATTACGGTCACCTTCTTTAAGCCACAAAGCCCGAGATTTCTGACACCACGATATCTCCCCCATAGTAGCAATCTCAGCAAAAGTTACCTGACAAGACGTTCTTCTAGAGCGAAGAGAATCTGTATCTTGCCCTGTCTCATCAAGATGATCAAGATCAGCGATATCAGCCAGGACTCTATTTTTCTTCCATTCAAGATTCCCAAACACTTCTTTATTCCATTTCTTAAGCTTTGAGAGTCTGAAACTTCTTAGCAAGCACATAGCTATTAGAGCCAGTAAGCGTTGTTTCTTCCCACCAGGACTGGACTTTCCCTTGGAAGTCCTCAGCTCTCAACCACATATTTTCGAAACGAAATGGAGTCTGTCTAGATCTCATGCCTCCACAATCAAGAACCAAGGGCACATGATCAGACGTGACTCTAACCAAAGTTGACTGAGTGACATCCGGAAACTTCTCCTCCCAATCTCCAGAAATCAGGAATCTATCAAGCCTCGATAAAGTAACTGGGTCTCTGCCACTAGACCAAGTGAAAGTTGCCCCTTCCAAAGGCAAGTCAATAAGAAGGTGACCATCAATAAAGTCAGAGAACTGGGTCATTTCTGAAGACCACCTCCCCCCTGTGGATCTTTCAAATGGAGACCGAACAGAATTGAAATCCCCGCCTAAGCACCAAGGCAACGGCCACAAATCCTTAATGTAGCTGAGTTCTTGCCAAAAAGCAGTTCTAACACAATCAATAACTGGTCCATAAACTCCAGAAAATACCCAACTGAAGTTATCATCTTCCATCTGAAACACACAAGACAAAGAAAATAGCCCTTTCCAGATATTCGTTTTAGACATCCATCTACGATCCCACATAATAAGAATACCGCCTGATGTATCATAGGCTTTCAAAGCTTCCCAATCCACGAATCTACTTCCCCAAAGGCTTCTAACCACGGCATCAGAAATAGAAGCCAACTTGGTTTCTTGCAAGCAAATAACATGGGCATTCCACTTCTTCAAAGCAACTTTAACCACCTTTCTTTTGTCCGGATCATTTAATCCACGGACATTCCATGTAATAATTCGTATCTTCATTGAGAACCAAAGATAATTAGTGCCCCTCCTCCCTGCTTCCCACTTCTAGTCCTTCCCCTTTCTTTATTCACCCCATCCTTCCCTTCGTAATTGATATTGGAAATAAGGTTCTTAACCTCCTGATCACCTTTCCGATGTGCATGTTTCTTATTTTTAACAACTTTTGTGCTTTTAAAGGTCTCTGCATTATTGTTTCCTTCCACAATATCATGAAGAATGATTTGTGTTCGATCATCATCTCCTTTCGAGGAAACACCCAAAGCTTCGCTGACCTCGTCAATATTATTCAACACCCAGTTCATACCCATATCGTTAACTATCTCTAAGCAATCAGAGTGCACAGTTGCTAAGGGTTCCATAATGTCCACATCAGATTGATCAACACAAGGGCAAGAGGACAAATCTGTTGAGACTGATCATCAAAGTCCTCCCCTTTGCTTTCAGCACTGTTCTGATATAAGTTTAATTGCAAATTCAATTCTGTTCCAGTGTCATCCATAAAATTTTTCATTAAATTATGGGTAGAATTGGTCCCAGTCACGGGGGGTAGACCATTTAAGCCTTTTAGAGCAGCACAGAGCTTGAGTTCATTAATTAAAGTCACGGCTAAATCATCTTTCAGTTTAAAGTGAAGGTCTCGACCAACACAAACTGTCACCCAGTTGGAACAATCAATACTTCCGGACTTGGACATTGAAGACGGTGATTCTGCATCCCGTGGTACAATAGCTTTAGAAAAATCTCTCTTTTGATCCAAACAATCCTCCACTCCACCTTCACCATTTCCCAGCACCTTACTCGAAGAAGGGGTAGAAGATGAGCTCTTATGATGAGAGACAGGGGTCAAACCTGGAGAAGGAGAAGGAGAGCGTACTACCCATTTCTGCTTTTCAGTACGAGTCCATCGAGTACCTTGTCGACTAGCTGAAACAACCAGCCATCTCCACTTTTCTTTCTCAATCCGACGCTGAAATGAAGAAGAGGAGAGAGTTTGATTTTGGGCTTGAGTTTTAACTTGGGCTTTCCTTGGATCTGGGTCATTAAGAACTGAAACAGAAACTGAGTTTGGTCCTCTAATAACCCGTCTTTTAGTATGGGCTGGCTTAGGCCCAAAATCAGGCTTGAACCTTAACGCTTTAGTTTGCCTATAACCCCTCCAGCCCAAATTAACTTTAGGCAAATCTGTGTGGCCCAGCCCATTTTCCTCACCAACCCTTGTAGATAAGGATAGTGTGGAATCTGGAAATGAACCTCTATGAGCGCCACGTGTAGAGTAATTATTATTAGCTGTGACGTGCGTAACCGGCGCGTGTCGTTGACTTGATCTTCCTCGTACCCATCCTTCCTCCGGCATATGAGTAGGCCTTTCGCCGCCTTCGATACTCTCTGTTGAGGGAACCAACGCCGGCACAATTTCTTCCCAAATCGCCACCTTGTAGCAGAAAGTATCATCATTAATGAACACAAATTGCGGACAAGTCGATCCTATTCTCACTGTAATACGAACACTCTCGGCATCCCTGGTTTCATTGGCAACAGCTCCCACAAATCCGCCGCATAACTCCCCTACTTCAACAAATAGGGCATGACACCATAGATGAAGGGGGAGCCCAAACATCCGGATCTGTTTGAGTCCTTTTTCTCTAAGGACGCCACAACATCTAACCCTAAAAGACCACACATCGATCCGTAGAGTTGCAGATCCCCAATGACGTCGTCCTTCCTTTAACATGCGTTGGGCTTCGGCCTGAGAAGGAAACCTGAAAAGAAGCATCGAATCAGATAATGGAGTAACCCCCACACCACAGGACGTATTCCATGCTTTCGCTGCCCATTCCTCCACACGACCACAACCCCCAACTTCCTTATCAAAACAACCAACCAAGCAAGATGAAAGTATTGATTTCCTCCCTCCGACGGACTTCCCGTCAATATACAAAGACGGTCCTCGATGAGGAACAGCCGACTTCACGTCCCCAGTTAATGAAATTCTTGGAATCCTTGCAGTTTCTAAGTAAGATTTCATTGCGGAATAAAACAAAAAAAGAAGAAAGAAAAAGACAAAGTATCTATCGCTGTTAAAATCGCCCCGAGTGGGGTGAAATCGCCCATAGTGACGTCATTGCGCCGCACAATCGCCCCTACTCTCTCGGATTTTCTCACCAAGCTACACCTAATTTTTCTCTCACACCTTTGTTAGTGACCCTATATCTTCTAGTCACTCCACTCATCCATCTTCACATTCTCTTTTCCGCTACATTGTTCTTGTTTCCTTTTTAGGGCCCAATCAACCTCTCCATACAACATAGTTGGTCTAATAATATTCCTTTATAATTGTCTTTTTGACTTATTTGTTATTCTCTTATCACATAGAATCCCACTAGCTCATCTCCATTTTGTCTAACCTGCTCCAATTTTACTAGTTACATCATTATCTATTTCTTTATCATTTTGTATTATCGGCCTTAGTTACTGAAAGTCGTTTTATTGAGTAATCTTTTGGTTTTGGAGTGCTAGCATTATCTTTGAAAGAAATGGACTGTTACATGATTCACTTGGCTCCATCATGAATTATGACGGGTACCTAATGAGCATGCTTAGTTCATTTTTGTGAGAAGCTTATGACTTTTCCTGAAGCTTGGCTCTAATTATTTGTTGAATGAGTGTGAAGGAGCATGTACTGATACAAACTTGATCCCAATATGAGTGGCTTGGTTTGTGTTAAATATCTAATAGAATCTATCTCTAAATGCACTATTGTTTATTTTATTTTCATTTTTATTTTTCCATTTTTGCAAGGAATTCATTAATGGTTTGTTTTTCCCTGCCGTTCCCTTGGTTTCTTTTTTTGTTTTGTGTTTTTTCCTGGTTTTCCTTTCTTGGCTAATAAGGCTGAACTTCGTATTTTGCAGAAAGACAACATAAGGAACCAGCGGGAGAATGTTGTTCTTAGTATAGCAAATGCTCAGACACGACTTGGAATACCTGTTAAGGCTGATCCAGTGAGTAATGCTGGTTATCTTGTTTCATGAACAGTTACTTCCCATCATGTTTAAGTTGTTTAATTTTTTATTCTCTTTTAGATATATTGTTATTAAAGTTTTTATAGGTAATTTATGAACGCCTTTTTTAATTTATTATTACTTATCAAAAAAAAAAAAAAGTTTTTATAGGTAATTTATGAAGTACGTATTGGAGGATTTGTTTCGAAACCTGACATGAATTATGAATGGAATACGAATAAGTTGTCCTTTTTCTGAGTTTTTGGGGATTTTTGAAAGATAATCTTACAAAAGAATGTACACAAGCTTGTTAAGCATATTGTTTTCGTGCTTGACTATAAATAGCAAGGCAAAACAGCAGAGTTTGCGTAGTGTTGACTAAGTTGCTCCGGGTATGCTTTTATTTATCTTATCATGTTTGTAGCTTTCTTTTATCTGATGCCAGGATATGATATGTCCACATGGTTTTCTTCCTTTAGTTTGTTAGTGATTGTTATACTTTTCTTTGTGGCCTCGATCAAAATGCTTACTTGGAGAAAAGGCTTCTGCGTGCTTGTCACATCTTTTTGGCAAAATTTGTTGTCATCTTTTGTATGGGTACAATTGAAAGTGGTAAGCATCTCATGTTTATTGTACATGTAGGAGCTGCTACAATGCACCTCTGACGATCCCTTTCTGGATTAAAACTGCTCCCAGTTGCTATCTAATGTGGAACTGGACATTGGTCATCAGAGTGGATTTATTATAGAAATGGCATCTTTATGTGATGAGGGTTAGGCTTCAGATGAACCGAGTTACTCGACTCAATAAGAGCTTGACTCACATGTATCTGTTTGCTAATTGTGCTGAGCTCGAAAAAAATTCGTAGGTTCGTTTATAAAATGAATTGAGCTCGAGCTACCTTAAGGCTCGGCTCGGAAACTTCATGAACTATTTGTCAACTGGGCTCGTGAAAAGGCTCATTTGCTTGTTAAAAGACATATATGTATATACATACATACATGCATATACCTTAGTTCGGAACCCTAATAATGCTATCCTTCCATATAAGTTTATATATCAATACTTTAGTTCAGAACCCTAAATATGCCATCCCTTTTCATTTGCGCCTCCCATTCCCCCTCCGCGCTCAAACTTCTATCTCCTACCTCTCTCTTACCCGAAAATGCTAGGATTTTCAATTACAGAGAAGATGGTTTTATACTCCACGAGGCCTTAAAAGCAGATTTGCCACGTAATGCATTTGAGCCACCTCATATTTTTTTCCCAGACCCTGATGCACGCTTAATTTTGGCTTCTCCTTGTGATTGTGATTGCTTAAGCTGGAACAATAGTGCTTCTTCCAGGTGCAGCCATTGGCTTTGTTTGCAAATTTCAGATCAGTCAGCATGCTTCACTCATCTTGTTTTAACTCGATTTTTATTGCATTAGTTTTCAATTCCGTATGTGTGTGTTTTACTTATTCATCTTTGCATTTTACTTTAACTATGTGTGTGTCTCATAAATATTAATCTTTCTCTCTCTTCCACATTTGCATTTGATTAGCATGCCTTTATGGCATAATATACTAAAAGTATTTCTATACTTTGTATATGGAACTCTAATTACATGGGCAACATACACTGCATTTCCCTTCTTAGATATTTTGTTCATTTTTAACAATATAACAATGAGGATAGATAAGTAAATTCACCACAAAATCTGACATAGGGGGTCTTCGCAAAAAAAATGGCAAATCATCGGTTTTTTTGCAATTAGGCCAAACCTCAGGGGAGGTCATTGTGGTTTACCCATTTTCAAATTGTAAATCTATATAGAAGACGGTTGATTTTTTGGGTCCTTGGAATCCTTTTTGGCCTTCGCCTCGTGTATTTTTTGGGATGCATTACCCTTTTGAACACCTTCTAATACATATTAACTTGTCAATATGTTTATATTTTTCAATATCGTCACGCGTTTTAGTGGAAATACATTTATTGTTTTTTAGTAGTCGCTATCCTGAACCTTTTAGATGTTGTACATTTGACTGTATTATTAACATTTGTTTTCATATTTTTGTTTTGTTTTAAAGTATATCGATAAGCATTATCACTGTAGAATATTGTTTCAGGATATGAACAGTTCATTTATCAAAATATCTACAATTTTGTTGCTATTATAATACTTACTGGAACTGTGTTTCCTATAGCTGGTTGCAATGAGAACATGGTAAAGTTACAAATTTACTTCAGTCAACATCATGATTGCAGACCTAGCATGATTTGTGGCTATGTTTTGTTCTTTTTAATTATTTTTTAATTGGTTAAGCATATATAATTATTTGCGAAATTGTCTCTCTTTCAGCTAATGGCTAATGTTGTTAATAGAACCCTGGACATATGGGAATGTGATTGATTTTGTTATTTGTAGCCAAATAAATAATGAGGTAATCTATTTTATAAATTTTGTTGATGAAAATATTTATGAGTCTGGGGCACCTTATCCAAGTCCTTATTGATAATTAGTCAACAAGTTGACTTTGTAACTTTTAAGCGGTCACTTACGTTTATAGATTTTATTCTATACTAAGGATCTATATTTACACAGTTCTGTTGACAAAAGCCTCTTACTTATTAGCAATTAGGAGATAGTTGGTACATATGAATGGGTATCAAGTGAATGATCAAACAAGGTGGTCAATCTTCAAAATCCGAGTTCATGATTTTTCGGTGCTCAAATAATGTAGAATTGGTTGCCTTCTTTATCCAATAGGGTTGTAAGTTGGATCTGTATTTCTTGGGGTATTGAGTTTTACAAACTTCTGTATCTGATTTATAGATATATAATAATACTTTTGCTTTCATTTTTTTGTTTTGTTTTTAAGTGTGTACATATATATGTAGTTTTATATAAGGTGGTCTATCTTCTGTTTTTGAGAATCTATTTAGAATTCAAGCCTTTTTCAAACGAACTGGATAGTCATATATGATATATTCCTTCATTCTTTTGGGAGCTCTCCCCTCTTGAGCGCCTTTTATGAAATCTTTCTTATCAATTATTATTATTTTTTCCTTTGGTGTTACTTCTTTTTAACCAACTGCATATCTTAACATGAGATGGTTATTATTTTGCTGGCATCATATAGAGCTGTAACATGTGTGATCTTGGTGGCTGCAAGGAAAAATGATAAACTCTTTTTTTTTGGCAGAAGATAGACGAGAAAGCAATTACCGAGGTTTTCTTGAAGGTATTGGATAACTACATTAAATGGTGCAGATATTTGCGCATACGCCTTGTATGGAATAGGTCACTTCTGCAACCTGTTTCTCTTTCCTTAATCTTCCTTCCCTTTGTTGCTCGACTAATTTTCATCTGAATCTTTTTTTAACAGTTTAGAAGCAATTAATAGGGAAAGGAAGCTTTTTATGGTTTCATTGTATTTCCTTGTATGGGGTGAAGCTGCGAATGTTCGTTTCCTTCCTGAATGCATTTGCTATATATTTCACCATGTAAGTGGTTGTTTTTTTTTTTTTTTTTTTTAATTTAATTTTTTTTTTTAAATGTTTTTTGTTTTTCTTTTCTTCTGTTGGTTGATTCTTTTGCTGTATGATCTGCTAAATTGCTTCATTGAGTCACACTTCATTCGTCATTTTTCATTTTCTTTTTCCTTTTCAAATATAGTCATTATTTTTTGTTGCAATGTAGAAGTGTGCTCCTTAATATTTGTTGTTTTTGTCCTGGTCGGTATTTTTTAAAATCACATGTTTCTTGACTTGTTGCTTCTGTCTGTTTGAAACTGTTTGCTTTGTAAATATAATTTTGAGTTCTCTCTTTAATATCAGCTTGACTCCTAAAATGTTAGCATGTTTGAGCAAATCGTCTTGGGAGTCATAGAATGCTAAAACTCAAAGTTCAATCTACATTTATATGTGTGTTTGTGTGTGTATAGATAGAGTTGTGTTCTATCCTTCCTTGACGCGGGGGAACAAAGTGTGCAAATCTAATAGCAACCTTTCATAGATATCTAACAGGGTCATCTAAAACTGCTTTAAAAAGTTTGCCCTTTTTGTTTTAAAAAATCTATAAAAAATGAGGAAGGCTGCCATGAGGTGCACGTCATGGCAGTTGTCATGAGCTTTCTTGAAATTAGCACATTATTGTGATGTTGTGGCCCAAATTTTGCTTCGACCCAGGTCACGTTGCGACCTGGATTTAACCCGAAGTTGGGCTTTGTGTGGGTCATGGACCCTATTTAGTACTCTCTTGTGTAGCCTGGTATACAAGGGAGTTTAGGGTTTGGAGTGGGATAACAAGAGAATGCTGAAAACCGCAAGAAAGAGAGTGAGAGAGGGAGCTAGGGTTTGGGCTGAAATTTGTAATCTTCTGATTTTTGCATAGTGAAATCTTTCGCCGGATCTTCACCATCAACGTAGGCTTTGCCGAACAACGTTAAATCTGTGTTCTTTGTGTGTGGCGTGTTTACTTTTCTGATTTGATTCTTGATTTGTTCTTTGGCAGTGAAAAATTGCGTCTGGATCTCATCGTGATGTTACTAGTATTAAAAATGTTCTGTCATAAATTAATGTCAGGATTCCTTTGAATACGATGATACGAGTCAGTAAAAAAGGAAGCTTTAGTTTGGTCAAAGTTTTTTGGTACGAGAATTATATTAGAAAAGCGCTCTATTGGGGGGCCCACCTATGTACAACTTCAAGAAGACAAAATCTTTAAGCTCTCAAACTATTCACAAACTCAACTATATACTTAATTTGGTTAAATTGTCGAAAGGGAGAGAATATAATGTTTTAATAGAGCTCTAATTTGAATTTTGGTATATTGATTTTATGACCTCGTACTGTTCCTTTTCAATGTTATTTGATTCGTGTCTCAAAATTTAACATAATCCGTGTAAAATGGTATATAGTTCATGGTTGCTGCAATAAGTTGCACCTTATTATTGTTTTTATGGAAAAAGAAACCGTTTACAAATGGAAATGTCGTGATTTGATTGCGTGCTCAATCCGAGAGCCTGACTATCATTATATACAAGCGGAAAATTACAAATATGGAAAAGAGAATAAAATCAAATCAAAATAAAGAGAATAAAATAAAATTAGAATAAAAATAAAATCCCTAAAAATTAGTCTATATTGAAGACCTAATAAATCTGCCATAATCGTTGAGTCAACTTATAGATAAGATTTCCAACACTCTCCCTCAAGCTGGAGCAAATATGTTGACTAAGTCACTAAGCCCAGCTTGACTATGGAAGACTGGAGAAGAGAAGGCCCAACAGACTTTGTGAACACATCTGCAGTCTGTTTTGAAGAAGGAACAAAAATAGGATTAATGATACCCGATCGAACCTTCTCTCGAATAAAGTGAATGTCTACCTCAATATGTTTCGACCTTTCATGTAAAACAAAATCAGAAGCAAGCATAATGGCTGATTTATTGTCACAAAATAGCCTTGAAGAACCTTTCTGTACAAGACCCAACTCTCCCAAAATTGATTGAAGCCAAAGGAGCTCACAAGTACCTTGAGCCATAGCTCGGTATTCAGCTTCAGCAGAGGATCTAGAAACAACAGCCTGCTTCTTACTCTTCCATGATATGAGATGATTACCATAGAAAGTACAGAAGCCAGAGGTAGAACGTCTATCTGTCTTACATCCAGCATAGTCTGCATCAGTAAAGCATGAGAGTCCAAACTGATTTCCTGAGACACAGACCAGACCAAGACCAGGGCACGACTTAAGGTACCTCAAAATATAGTAGACTGCATCCATATGAGCTGAGCGAGGGGCATGCATGAATTGACTAATCACACCAACAGCAAATGTCAAATCGGGCCTTATGTTAGTCAAGTAGATAAGATGAACTACTAAACGTTGATGCACGGATGGATCTGGAAGTAATTCCCCTGACTCAACAGAGAGTTTAAGATTGGGGTCTATAGGAGTGGAAGCGGGTCGACACCCAAGTATGCCAGTATCTTGAAGAAGATCCAAAGCATATTTCCTTTGAGATAAAGAAATTCCACGACGGGATCTAGCAACCTCAATTCCAAGAAAATATCGAAGAGGACCTAAGTCCTTCACATCAAAGGACTTTTGAAGATGAAGTTTCGCTTGAGCAATCCCTGAAGCATCATCACCTGTGATAATGATATCATCCACATATACCAATAACATAATGCAACGACCATCAGAGCGACGTCGAATAAAACAAGTATGGTCTGAGTGGCAGCGCACAAAGCCCATGGATAAAACAACATCGTTGAAACGACTAAACCAAGCTCTGGGAGATTGCTTCAGACCATAAAGAGACTTCCGTAGCCTACAGACTTTCCCAGCATATTCCCCCTCAGCCCGAAATCCAGGGGGTGGATCCATATATATAGTCTTAAGTAAGTCTCCATTAAGAAATGCATTCTTGACATCTAACTGATACAGAGGCCAAGAATGGGCAGCAGACAAGGAGACAAGCAGTTGCACAAACGTCAACTTAGCCACAGGAGCAAAGGTAGCACTAAAGTCGTTGCCCGGAATCTAAGTAAAGCCTTTTGCCACCAACCGAGCCTTATACCGATCAATAGAACCATCGGCTAAGTACTTCACATTAAAGACCCATTTGCAGCCAACCGTTTTCTCCTTAGAAGGTAAAGCAACAAGTTCCCATGTATTATTATGGTGTAAAACATCCATTTCTGTTGTCATGGCAGACACCCAATTGGGATCCTGGAGGGCCTCTGACACAGATCGAGGAATAGAAACGGTCCCAATCTTGCCCAGGAAGGATTTATATGCACCTGAAAGACCATCATAGGAGACATACTGAGAAATAGGGTGGTTAGTGCTACTAGAAAAACCATACCAATTAGGAGGATGATGATCACGGGAGGTACGCTCAGGAATTGTAGGAGCAATAGGAGAAGGAGAGTTACCTGGACCTGGTTCTGAAGATGATTCTGGTAGGGGAGGTTGAGTGCGATGGCGACGAGAGTAGACCTGCAAAGGTGGAGGGGAACCCTGCATGGATGGAGAAGGAGATTCCAGGACAGTGTGATTTTCAAAGAGAGGAACATGACGGGCAATAGGAGAAATCTCCTTCTCCAGATCACAAGAGAGAGAATCCTGTACCACAGAATTAGTACTATAAAAAGGAACAGTTTCATGAAATGTCACATCAAGAGAATGATACATATGTTTGGTCACAGGATCATAACAACGATAGCCCTTTGACATAGCAGAATACCCCAAGAAGATACACCTAATAGATTTATCATCAAGTTTATGACGAGAAGGACTACTGTTATGAACAAAACAAGTACAGCCAAAAACTCGAGGCAGAAGGTGAAACAATGTATAATCAGGCTGGAGAATCTGAAGTGGTGCCTTACCACCCAAAACTCGACTGGGAGTACGATTAATCAGAAAAGCAGTTGTAAGAACAGCCATGTGCCAATAGAAGTTAGGCACATGCATACCACTCAGAAGACATCGGACCACAGACATAAGATGATGGTTTTTGCGTTCAGCCACGCCATTTTGCTCAGGAGTATAGGGGCAAGTGAGTTGATGTAAAATCCCCTTTTTATTAAGTTCAGACCGGAACTCATTCGAAACATATTCTCGTCCATTATCAGAATGAATATTACGGACAACAGTGTTATACTGGGTTTTGATTATCTGAAGAAACTGGGTAAATAAAAGAAACACATCAGATTTCTTTTTCAATAAATAAACCCAAGTATAACGAGAATAATCATCAATAAATGTCACATAATATCGATGTCCAGAGAAAACAGTAACTGGGGAAGGGCCCTAGACATCAGAATGAATAAGATCAAACATACTAGGAGCATGACTCATATGAGAAATATAGCTAGTTCTAGTATGTTTAGAAAGCTCACAAACTTCACATTGAAACTTGTGGTCCTTACATGCTTTATTTAACGAAGGAAACAATAGACATAGATATTGAAAGTTTACATGCCCCAAACATGCATGCCATAGACTAAAAGTGCGAAAAGAAACATCATAAACACTAGAAGTAGGTAGGACAGAAGCTTGAAGACTCGTTCCTGGTGGTTGCCCAAAGTAGTAAAGCCCATCACGCTCATAACCCCTGCCAAAAATCCTCTTCGAACAAAGGTCCTGCAACAAACAGTGATCTGTTAAGAATATAACTGCACATTGGAGGTTTTTTGCAAGCCGGCTAACAGATAAAAGGTTAAAAGGCAAATTTAGGTACATGAAGGACAGATGAAAGAGTAATATCAGGAGACAGACAAACATCACCCTTATTGTGAATGTAAGATGTAGAGCCATCCGCAAGATACACAGTTTGGGTAACAGGTATGATATTAGAAGAAAAAACTGATAACTCACCAGTCATGTGATCATTGGCCCCAGAATCGAGAACCTAAGTGGGCTGCTTGGCCTTAACATGAAATGCAGTACGAGTACCTGTAGCAATAGTTGCAGTGGGAACAGTTGAAGGAGCACTAACTCTAGAAGCAAGGGAGCCAAGTTGGCCCTGGATATGCCCAATCTGAGACTGAAGCTGGCTCAGTCCAGGAAATACAGTATATCCACTAGTAGTAACAGGAGTTTCTGCAACAGCCGCAGGACGAGAAGAACCAGTTCCAGATAAGCGGTTCCTAGAAAATTTTTGTTTCAGTTCAGGATGAAGTTTGAAGCAACGAGCCTTAACATGTCCAACCCCTCCACAATGGTGACAAATAATCTGACCTCCAGAAGCTCGTCATCCAAAGTTGGCTGCAAAAGCCATACTATCCCCAGCAGGCTCAGACACTGGTACAGGAACAATTGAGGGCTGAATTAAACGGTGCTTGCGTGCTTCACCATCAACAGTAGCAAAGGCTTCCAACAGGGATGACATTGGTGATGCAGTCAAGATCTGAGACTTTAGTGGTTCAAATTCTGGGCGTAATCCCATAAAAAACTGATAGGTATGCTACCGATCAAGATGTTTGACAAGAAAAGAGGTTGCCTCAGAAGGAAATTCACTGAGAGGCTCATATTGAGCTAGTTCCTCCCAACGAGATCTCAAATACCCAAAATAATCAGTTACAGACAAATTCAGGCCTTCCTGCGAGGCCTTAGCAATATCTTGATATAATTAAAAAATACGAGCATCATTCCTAGAATGAGCATACATTTGATTCAAAGCAGTCCACAAGTCATTAACAGAGTCATAAAACATGAATATATTATAAATGCGTTCCTCCATAGAATTAAACATCCATCCTAAAATGGTGCAATTGTCCATATCCCATTGAGCATATTTAGGATCTTTAATATCTGGCCTCTTTTCAGTACTCAAAATCCACCCTGATTTTCCTTTTCTACCAACATAGAGGCGGAGGGAACGAGCTCAGGATGCAAAATTACGGCCATTCAACAGCACACTAGTAACCCGTTGAGCCGGTGTGTGTTGCGCCGAAAAGTGAGTTTCTTTATTATTACTTGATTCAGCCATAATATTAAATAGATCAATTCAACAGATTACCAATAATTTCAAATAAAGGAGGAATAAACCTGATTTTGATCAAACCAAGAAGCCGGAGACATGGCGGTCTGATCCGAAAATGCTGCCGAATATCCTGGCAGCCCCAAAAAATTACAAACACGTCTTCTGACCCTTAGTGCATGAAAAAGACTAAGGGAATACTCCTAGGGGTCGAACCCAGAGGAGATTGACTCCCCTTAGGACTGTCGCAACAGCGACCTGAAAAAGAGAGAAGGTCTGTGAAAAAAAAAAAAATAGGGAAGGGGCTGTAACGAGATAGAGAGAGATATTAAAAGATGCGGTGAAAGAGAGAGAGATGGGGGAGGCGTAGGCTTGAGGCTTTGATACCAAAAAGTTACTTGGTAAAATTGGCGCGCTCAATTTGAGAGCCTGACTATCATAATATACAAGCGGAAAATTACAAATATGGAAAAGAGAATAAAATAAAATAAAATAAAATCAGAATAAAAATAAAATCCCTAAAAATTAGCCTATATTGAAGACTCAATAAATCTGCCATAATCGTTGAGTCAACTTATAGATAAGATTTCCAACAGATTCATATCTCAAAATTTGATATAATTAGTGTCAAAAAGTAGATTTTTCATGGGTGCTGTAAATTCTGTGATTAGGTGGACCTTAGTATAGCTTTTATGAAAAAAAAAACTGTTTTCCCCTTACAAATGGAGGTCTGATCAAGATTCGTGCCTTGGGAAAGCATAAAACCTAGCTATTATTCTATTACCCAATTTTGGAAGGATGCTCTTTTTCCTCTTACATGTCTTTACGTAAGCAAGATACTAGTTTCAAGCAATCCGTGATATATAATATTTGCAATTGTACAAGGCATGCAAATTGCAAAGTTTAAGAGGTGCAAAAAAGTTAACATTTCCGTTATTTAGGGTCAATTATTCACAAAGAGGGAAGTGTTGTTAAAGTCGCGTCTAGGCTCGAGGCGCAGGTCTAGCGCCTGTTGTCATCCAGGCGCACTGATGTTCACTAGGTGCGTACCTCGGTTGTGCCTTGTCCTATTTGCCAGGCTCATTGTTTTTTTCTTTCAAAAAAATGATTATTCTGTTTCTTAAGCCGAAAAGGTGCTTTTGGCAACTTAATAAACAAATAAGAAAGCCCAAGCGAATGAGAGAAGGAACTTTTTGTTCAAAAGAATAAACAATAAGAAAGCCCAAGAATCGAAGTATCAACCGAGCATAGAGAGTGAGAATGTGAGACCAATGACGAAGCCCTAGTTGCAGAGATGAACGATGAAGCCACTCCGGTTCTTTCTTCTTCTTCTTCTCTCTTCTCCTCTATCCTCTCTTCTCATCTTTGTTCATTTCTCTCTCTTCATCTACGTCTTCTGTCTTTGCTTTTTTTTTTTTTTCTTTTTCTTGGTAAAAGTTTTTTTTTTTGTTAAAAGATTTATTTCTTTTTGTGCTTTGTTTTGCCTTTCCAAAAACCAAATTCTGTTTTGCCTTTCAAGAAAAAAAATTTATGCCATGTTTTATGGTTCTTGAATGGTTATATATTCGATGGATTTACTTTTTTAATTTTGGTATTAATTTTTGGAATATTGATATGACTTATGTGATATGAATGCTTTTATGGTAGTTTAAATTTTCAATTGTGCGTCTCGCTTCATTCAGGTGTGCGCCTCACTTCACTCAGGTGTGCGCCTGGGCTCTGAAGGACCTCTAGCTCCTTGGTGCGCCTTGAGCCTTTAATAACTATCCCCTTACAATTGAAAGGGGAGAGTTCTATCAAACAATTATTAGACCAACCATACTTTATGGTACCAAATGTTGGGCAGCTAGGAAACAACATTTGCATAAAGTGAGTATGGCAGAAAATCAGAAATGAGAATGTTGAGATAGATGTGTGGTAAGACTAGAAAGAATAGAATTAAAAATAATCACATTCAAGAGATGGTTGGAGTTTCACCAATTGGAGATAAAATGAGAGAAAATCAGTTTAGATGGTTTGGACGTGTGCAAAGAAGACCTTTAACTGCGCTGGTTATTAAAAATAACATAGTCCACATTGAGGGTAATACTAGAGGAAGTGGAAGACTAAAGTTAACGGGGGAAGAGTTAGTATAGAAATTTATGATAACATGTGGATTGACTGAGGTTATGGCCTTTATTAGAGCTGAATGGAAACAAGGGATTCAGGTAGCCGACTCCAAGTAATTGGGAGAAGGCTTGATGGTGGTGGTGGTTGTACAAGGCATGCAAAATTAATGAAAAACACGGGTGAATATCCTTTTAAGTACCAGATGTATTACACCGTAGACCATTCATTGGTCCATGCCAGGCCAATATATTCCTATATATATGTTATATATATATATATATATATAAAGAAGCAATATAGGTAATTTCTGTTTGAGAAGTAGTAGAGCTTCTTGCAATAAGAGACTATTTTACTAAAAACAAAGAAGGCAATGGTAGGTGGGTTTGCTTCTTTCTCTTTAACGCATTTGATGTTGACGCTTCCCACTTTAAAGAATAAAGTCAATTTGCATTGTTGTTTGTGGTATTCTTTTAAACTTTGGAAACCCAGAGAAAATTATCATAATGGTTTCAGATTGTTGTTTTTTGATATGGTCCCTCCTTAACTGGGAGCAACAGAACATTGTATCGACTTGCATTGATGTTCTGACTTACATCTTCCAACATCCCCTTTCTCTCTCACACAGTTCACATACACACACACACAATATTTCCCCTAGTGTGGCTCGAACAATCAACCTTCCCTTTGGGGAGGAGAGATCAAATCATCTGGGCTCATACCATCTTGAGTACATATATAATTATTTATGCATTGTGCAGATGGCCAAAGAGTTAGACGCAATCCTGGATCATGGTCAAGCTGATCATGCTGCTAGTTGTAAAGGTGAAAGCGGTTCAGTATCCTTCCTTGAGCAAATCATTTGTCCGATATATGAGACGATGGTGGCGGTCAGTGAATATCTACACTTAAAGCCAAACTGAATTTCTTAATCAATTTTCTTTTGTAGTTAGATTCTGTCTTACTCTTATTTATTTATTTTTTTCCTTCTAAACTTTAAATTGACTTGATTTTCTCTGTACCCAAAGTTGATACATCAACGAATATGCGTAGAAAGTTAAAAATGCTTTCTTACTTTTTATTAATACTGAGCAGCATCTGTGCGGCCACTGCAAAATAGTTTCGTTTAATTTTAACAGCATATATATATATATATATTTTATTTTAAAATTTTGAATAATAAACAAGCTCTTCCTACTTTGCTGGTGTGCAATATAAGCTCTATCTGTGTTGGACACAAGCACTTAGAAATTTCCTTAGAATCTTTAACATGTTTTATTTTCCATATTTTAGAAGTTAATTATTATATTTTGGGCATAGACTTCCGGCTCTCTTAGATGTTTTTGACATGTCTTGAACTAGTATATTTCCTAAAAGTATATAAAGTTTGTCATTATTCGTGCGAAAAACATGTTTTGACATAAGAAGAGAAATATAATAGACACGTTACTAAAATTTAAACCTTTTTTGGGAAGCTGAAAAAGTGGGATTTATTGAGGGCACACGGGTTTCAATCAGGGAGGATGTGAAGGGGAGATGGTGGAGGGGAGTTGGTATTTTGATACTGTATACTCTCACTCACTTGAATTAACCAAGACACACATATATATCATGGTAATAAATTGCAATATCTGGTCTTGATTTTTCATTTATTAGCCCTGAACCTTTTCGTTCTCTTTTGGTAAATAAAATTGTTCACTTAGAATGAAAAGAACCTGTTAGACATGGAAATTAGTTTCAATTTATTTATTTATTTTTTAAATTTTGTTTCGTTTTGTTTTTTTGGGTGAGGGTTTCAATACTTTCAGTTGTTCCTGCAAAAGGATTCATAGTGGCAGTTAACAGTTACTGTGTCACCTTAATGGTCTGTTAAACTAAGTTTTCTTGGCCAACATACCTGCTTGATTTAGTTCTGAACCCACTGGAGCCATCATCCTAATACAAATCAACATTCTGGCACTTGCGAACTACTATGCTGAATCCATCTTCTCTAGTAGCCTTATTAGCCATGCAAATCGAATATATTTCAGGACTGCTCGTGTTATAATAAATTCTTTATTGGTAGCCTTGACCACAAAGAGGACTAAATCAGGTATGAAGGTTGCACTGCTCGAATTCTGAGTACATCTTCTGGTAAAATTTAGAACTGAGACTCCAACACCACATGTGGCTTCTGAATTTTACATTTCACACTCAAACGTACAACTTAAATTCTGTCTTTATATAACTTAGCTTTCAGCTGGTAGGTGTTCTTCTCTCATGGGTGAACTGTTACATTGTGACTAAAACCATGGATCTTCTCCAGAAGGGCAGAAACTTCTGAGTCAAATATCAAGATGATATCCCACATTAGATTCTGATTTCCTCTCGAAGCATTAATCTTCTTTTGTTCCGCATGTCTTCCTCAGAACTGAGTACTCATAGTAATTTAATCTTCTTTAGTCTCAGATAATAGGAACAAGGTTGGTTCCATAGAACTTATTTCTTGGATATGCCATTAAACAATTTGTATAAAATTGAGTCCATCTGCCAACCTTTTTTTATTTTATTTTTTAATTTGTTTTAGCATTTTAAGAGGAAAACTGTTCCATTTATTTTGCAATTTTATTCAGTTGTCAAAAAGTTATTTCATAGAATTGCATATGTGGATGAAAACTTCACTGATGTTAAATAAATTCCCAGGTCTTGTATTTTGGAAGTTGTTTAAAGCATCCTTCGCCCTTTTGTGTGTGTTTACTGAGGATATAGCTTTACTTGTTCTTTTTTATGAAGGCTATCTATGTTCATTTTTCTTGCCTACAGGAAGCTGATAGGAACGATAATGGGAAGGCTGCACACTCAGCTTGGAGGAATTATGATGACTTCAATGAATATTTCTGGTTTGTGCTTTTGTAAATTTATGTATTTATGGTTTGGTGGTCGACTTAAATTCATAATTACATTTTTTGATCTCATTCTGAATGTATGTGTAGGTCACCTGCTTGCTTTGAATTGAGCTGGCCTATGAAGAAGGAGTCATCTTTTCTTTTGAAGCCTAAAGGGAAGAAAAGGGTTGGTTCTGACAATGATTTATGATTTATTTTTGTCTTGCGTTTTAATATTCCAGCTCATATTTATGCTTCTGGTGAAGTGATTGACATGGCTTCTGTTATTTTAATCGGATATGAGTTGTTTATAGTGGGATCTCCTAAAATCTGAAGAATGATTTGATTATGGACTGATTCCCCATCGAACGAACTTTTAAGCAGTTCTTCAGTTTATATCTGCTGATCAGTCAGCCATTGAATTTCTATATAAGAACTAGAAAAGATGCCTTGTTAGTTCTGGACCTAATTTGGTGGGATTTCTTTGGAGTGTTCTAAGAAGGTGAGGGCGGGTTGGGGGGGTTCTGGTTGAATATTTTCATTTTCAAAATTTTTTTTTCGTGGCATTTCATCTCCCTTTTGTAGCATGCACGGTTTTCAGTCGCAAATTTTTTAGAAGTTGATTCTTCTGTAATTGCTCAATAGATTTGGTGTCTGAGTTTATTATTATTTTTTTTTGATAAATAAAGATTTTATAAAAAACACACAAAAGGGTAGCGGATCCCAAGAAAAATACAAAAAGCCACAAAGGACTCAAGCTTTCAAAGAGGCCAAAAAATCAACAATCTCCTCCAACGATCTATGATCTCTCTCTGAAACCCAACAAAAAAGAGTGGAAATAATCGAGAATTTAAGTACCGAAATTGACATCGCCTTTCCTTCAAAATATCTTCTATTCCTTTCAAGCCAAATACACCACCACACACAGCGGCGTAGCCCTCCAAGCATCCCGACTGAGAGCCCCCACAGGGCAACCTCTCCACGCCTCAATCAACCCTCTCGCAGATCCTGGCATAATCCAAGAAAACCCAAATAAACCGAGCATCAAATCCCAACAAGCTCTAGCCAAAGAGCAATGAATGAGAAGGTGATCTATTGATTCCTCATCACGAAGGCACATATAACAACCATTGATCACCACCTGGCTTCACTTTTGCAAATTATCCTGGGTTAAGATTCTACCCAGAACTGAAGTCCATATAAAGAAAGCCACCTTGAGAGGAGCCTTGGAACGCCAAACAGACTTCCAAGGAAAACGAACATCAGGATCAAAAGAGAGACTTGAAGAAAGACCTCACCTCGAAACGCCCCTGAGAGTTTGTTGCCCAAGACCAACAATCCGAATCCTCCTCCACAATCCTTTGGTGATACAGCAACTCCAAGAAACGAATGGCCTCCTCGATCTCCCAATTCTGAAAGAAACGCCTGAATCGAACATCCCAAACCAGTCTCGCATTATCAAGATGATAACAGTCGACCACCATGGCCTGCCTATCCGAAGCAATCCTGTAAAGTTGAGGAAAAGCGAGAGCAAGAGGAAAATCTGCATCCTCCCAAAAGCGAATCCTCCTCCCATCTCTGAGTTTATTATTTCTTTTTCAAATTTTTGTTTTGTCTGTCTGTTATGTTAGCTTTGCGTTGTTAGTTTGTATTAAATATTAATGCTGAGTTGTTCAATAATTATTTAATTTAGTAAATATTTTTAAGCCGTGGGTTGACTTAATCTTGTTTTATGTGTTGGGGTGGCAAAATTTGACACAACCCGTCAGCACGTTTTGAACACAACACGAAGTTAATGGGTTTGGGTTGATCTTAGTCTTGTTCAAGTTATAATCTTGTCAGCCCGGTTAATTAATAATGTCATGTTTTGGAGATCAACCCATTTTAGTACGATTAGACCCATTTAATTACACTTGTCAGTCAACTTGATTAACCTGTAACCTGTTTTAATCATTATTTCATTTTAAATCCAATATGGATATTGTATTTGGTCTTATTTTTTTATTTTTTATTTTTGGTAATTGTCCAATATTTTCATTTTCACTAATTTAGTCATCCATTATTTCAAATTTTTATTTGCATTTTATGCTTAAGTTAATAAACTAGTTACATGGTCCATTTAAGTTAAACGTGTTATACTGGTCAGTAAATGAGTCGTGTCATTACGTGACCCGTTTAATAAACGGTCTACTTGGGTCATGTTACCTGTTTAATAAACAGGCAGTGTTTGTGTCGAGGGTCCCTGTCACTATTATTAAACGGGTCTTGTTCGGGTTGCCACCTCTTTAAATGCTAGAAAATTTCTGGAACACCTAAGGTTTTTTGGGGGAAGTAGTTGAGGATCTCCATTCTCCACCAAATATGATGTTTGTGATGAACTTTTGATCTCCTATCCTCTTCAATCCTCTTCTATATATCTATAGAATTTGATTCTTTGTGTACCAGTAAGTGATTCTAACAACGTTGCTATTGGCTAGTCCCATTCAGCCAGACTCACGTAAAGCCATCTAGTTCATGTTTTTATAAGGCTCTAAACTCAAAAAAAAAAAAAAAAAAAAAAAAAAAAAAATGCATGCCGCTTTGATTGTTAATTATTTTGATTAATTATTTCCTTTTAAATGACTATGAATTCTGATACTCTGTATCACGTCATGGACTCATGGTCATAGTTGATGGATCATATTGTTTAGTTTTATTTTATATATGATGGAATCAATAAGCTTGTGTTACCTCCTGAAATTAAGTGCATCTTGTGTTTGTTTCTTAATTATAATTATAGTGTAGTATATGTTTGGAATCTACCTGATTACTGCTTTTAATTTATGCACATTTTTAGTGGTATTTGATTTGGTTAATGCATATGCATTTTGAAAGGATTTATGCATAATAATTTACTCGATCCTCTAAGTATGCCAGCAATTCCATTTTATAGAACTTTTGATTAGTTATGTTGCATATTAACTGTACATTAATTTAATAAAAGTATACAACTGAAAAGGTATATGTCAATTGATTTAGCTAATCATTGAATTAATATACTAAAAAATTCCTTTACTATTATTATTATTTTTGATAAGTAAAAATGTATTAGAAAGCGTTTAAAAGGGAAATGTGTCCCAAGAGCTGTACAAAAATCGAAATAAAGGAAAAAGAAGACCTATCGACCCAATGACCCCAAAAAGTCCGTAATCTCATCCAAAGAAATACAATCTCTCCCCATTCCCCAACTAAAAAGAGAGCAAAGAATGGTGAACTTTAATGCCCCGATGGAGATCTCCTCCCCATCAACAAATCTTTGATTGCGTTCTTTCCAGAGACTCCACCAAATACAAAGGGGGGTCACCCTCCAGAAATCACGAACACACGCTCCCACCCTTTGGCCCCTTCAACCATCAATCAAATCCTTTGAAGTCCGGGGCTTAACCCACTGAACGCCAAAAAGACTCAAAGCAGTCGTGAGCCACGGGACAATGCAAGAGAAGATGATCCACAAACTCTACATCATTCATACACAGACAATACCGGTTAACGATGACTTGTCTTCTCTTCCTCAAGTTGTCCGGAGTCAAGATCTTGCCCTAAGCAGCAGTCCACACAAAAAGGCCACCCTAAGAGGAGCCTTCGAGTGCCAAACCTTTTCCACGGGAAAGTGGAGCTGTGAAACCCTGAAAGCCGGGAAAAGGAGGACAGGACTTGAAACGTCCCCTGTGGAGAAAGCACCCAAGTCAAGGAGTCCGAACCAGTGCCAACCACCTCCCGTCTATACAGAAGATCCGGCAAACCAGTGGCATCATCCAACTCCCAATCCTGAAGGGATCGTTGGAACTGCACGTCCCAAGACAACCTACCGCTATCAAGGCGGTAGCAGTCAGCAACCAAAGCATGCCTATCAACAGGAATCCTAAACAACCTTGGGTACAAACAAGATAAAGGATGGTCCTTACACTAAGCATCCTCCCAAAACCGCATATTCCTTCCTTCCCGGACTCTTAATCTAATATGTTTAGAGAACTCATCCCCTCCCCTCCCAAAGGATTTCCATACCCTCAGACTGATAGCATACCTGACCATCCCCCCCTTTCCTCCCTAAACCGACAAGAAACTACCTTCCTCCATAACCTATGCCATTCACTGTCAAATCTCCATAACCACTTGCCTAGGAGTGCCCCATTGAAGGGGGCCAATCTCCTAATCCCTAGGCCTCCCAACCTAAGGGGCCTGAAGACCTGCTCCCATCGAACAAGATGATACTTAATCTCCTCCCCTCTACCGCCCCACAAAAAGTTCCGTTGAAGCATCTCAAGTCTTCCAACAACAGTAGAGGGAATCTGGAAAAGTGAAAGGAAATAAATTGGAAGACTGGATAAAGTGCTCTTCACCAAAGTAACTTTCCCCCCCTTCGAAAGGTATTGCTTCTTCCACACGGCTAACCTTCTCTCGAAACGCTCAATCACCGGTCCCAGCTTCCTGCCCTCCTTGACGGACACCCAAAGGCAAGCCTAAATAAGAAATGAGGAAGGAACTCATCCCACACCCTAAAACAGCTGCGAGAGACTCCACCTCTTGAATATCCCCCACTGAGACGAGCACACTCTTTCCCACGTTAACTTTCAGCCCAGAGAGATTGCCTGGAAGTAAACAAGGACACATCGCAAATATCTCAATTGGGACACCTCTGCCTCACAAAAAACCAGAGTGTCATCCGCGAAGAGCAAATGAGAGATCTCCAACTGATGAGCTGTGTCTGGACCAATCTTGAAGCCCTGTATGAAACCCCAAGTCCGCAGCCCTCCTCATCAACCTACTAAGAGCCTCCATAACAATAATGAACAGGAAAGAGGAGAGAGGGTCCCCTTGCCTCAAACCACGAGAGCTGCCAAAGAACCCGGATGGAGACCCATTAACAAAACCGAGAACCTGACAGACGAAACGCAAGTTTCAATCAATCGCCTCCATCTCTCTCCAAACCCCATCCTCTCTATCAGATAAAACAGAAAATTCTAGCAAACATGATCATAGGCTTTCTCGATGTCCAGCTTGCACAAGATTCCAGGAGTCCCGCTACTAAGCCTAAAATCCACACATTCCCTGGCAGTAAGGGCGGAATCCAGGATCTGTCTTCCCCCAATGAACGCATTCTAAGATTCTGAAATGACTCCGTCCAGAACCTCCCTCAATCTTTAACGC